GTTTCAGAAAGGCGGGGCATAGAGGAGAAAGAATAATGTACAGTATGTGGAAAATAATGTGTTTTTTTAACCTTAAACCGCATAAACACATTTCATTACACCAAATACACAAAATAATGTTTTTTTTAGCAGCATCATATGACCCCTTTAATATGATGAAATAATGATTACATTTAATTAAATTTTGTAAGACAAAAACACTTTTCAAGGACAAAAACAAACTAATTCCCAGTCTGGAAACAGAGGAAGAAACGGTTAAAAGTTATGGCCTAGATCTTGTGCTAGAAACTGATTTAAGAGGATGGGAACTTTTCATCTCCTCATGCACCTTTGCATCTCAGTGCAAAATGAGTGTGTGTCTCAGTGCATCTCAGTGTGTGTGTGTGTGTGTGTGTGTGTGTGTGTGTGTTTTCTTGGTTCTGTTGCTGCTTGTCTGGGAGTATATGGGTAAGGAATACCCTGAATTCCTGTCATGACTCATTTTGAGGTTGAAACAGTCAGGCGAGCAGGTCTGTGCGTTACAAAACTCTGACAGCCTTGACTCTCTGACTCGTTTCAGATTTATACAATGTGGCAAACAAAGCATAAACGGACACTGAAGGAAGATATTTTAATAAAATTGTGTTTTGCCAGCATTTCTTTCCATATGACCTACTTGAATGAAATGCACTTTTCCTTTTTACTCCAGAATTACAGTTAGGTCTGATATGAAAAACAGCACGAATGTCGGAGGTAAACTGATTGTAAAGCTTTATTTATATAGTCCATAAAGCTTCATTTAGTCTAAAAAATGACTAAAAGTCAACATAATGTCCCAAATGACCCTATTTGCTTTCTAAATACACATTTGTGGTTGCTTATATAGATTGAATGATTCATTGATGCACGTTATTCAAAAAAAAAAAAAAGACTGAAATTACTTTTCATTTTATGCGGACATCAATAAGGAGACTATTGAATAATGTTAACCAATAGTCAAACAGGATTTTATGCATTATTTTAGCAAATCTGCGTTGAGTCTGACTGTGTTCTGGTATAAAATACACACTTTTCAAGACCCAGTTGATTCCCCTTTACATCGTTTCTCGCTGAATATCTTGTTTCATTTGAAAATGTGTCACATTATGCAAGTAAAATGGGTTGCGACCAGCAACTCACGCTCACTTTCAGGTATCTGCATGAACAACTTTACAATAAATCAAAAAGTGTCTCCATATTTGGAACCTTGGAAATATAACAAAGAACATATGAGATTGTGTTTACATGGCTAGTTTACACATATGCACTATTTACACATCTTGTCCATTCTAAATTATCATTCAATTTCACTTAAGGAATATATGGATAAACAACAAATCAACCTTGCGCTAATGGCTGTTGTTGCAAAGATATGGATGGCGGTCACATGAGAACCTCCCATCTGGTCATGGCCATCAGTGTTACTAACCTAATGTGTCATCTATAAATTATTAATCTCTCATTTTTCATTATGTTACACTTGGCCAAAGAAAAGCATCCTCTGTCATTTTTATTGCCTTGCGTTTCACAGATGTCCAACACAATTTAATGGGAAGTACACAGTACTGAGGTTATTTACTGCAAGTGTACTTTCATTGGCACTAAATGACTCTTAATTGAGCAGCTGACATATAATGTGATCAGAAAGGCAATCAGAAAACATAATGATGCAGAAACAGAGAGAGAATCAAATTTTTGCATGTGTAACTAAATGGGGAATTCTAATAGCCATAAATTGGTCTTAAATTATTATTATTATTATTCTCCATTCTAAAACTCTGTCCCTAAAATAAAGTTTGCTATTTTTAGAGGTGAATGAAACATTATTTAGTCTCCTAATGAACCATTTTTCATTTTAAGGATGTCTCCAAAATTTGATTTTTTTACCTCTTCAGATTTAGCAAAAACTTCTAGACATTTGTTCAGCAATTTCCCCCTCAATAACATTGATGGGTCAAACACACATGCATGCACACACACTTACTTCCACCATCATTCTCAATCCTTTCTAACCATTGCAGTACACGTCCATGTAAAAGCTTTCATAATGCTTTCCAAATGAAAATCAATACAGCCCTGCAAACGTGAGGTGAGCATTAGCAATCTCCCCTCATTTCTCTCTCTCTCTTTATATATCCCTCCATATGTCTCCCACTGTCTCCTGGGCCCTCCATCACTAGTCTCCTCCATTAATTTATAATATCTATCACTGGAGTCGGTCCTCACTAGCATACGCATGGCCCCCGTAAGCATGCAAGTGTGAGTGTCAAGTATATCGACTATCCATCTGACCTGTTGCCTGATCCCGAGTGTGTGTGTTGAGTTACACAGACTCACCTACTGCCCACCTGTCTGACCGTTAAACCTGCACACGCGAGCGGGGCGTCTGCAGGTGTGCGTCGGCACTCGCAACATTAACAAGCCTAGTATATTGATCGCCGCTCTGTCTATTCAAATGATAGGAATGTGGGCCGCCGTGGGGACAGAATGCAGCCGGTCGATAGGTGTTGGCGTAAGTGGGCAGAAGGGGGAGGGGCTATAGAAAAAGTGCACTGCAGCAAAGTGGAGATTCACTTAGGAACATGCTGAGTTGTGCATTTATAGAAGATAGGAGAGATGTGCGATAGAGAGAGAGACAGATATAGGTCAACAGGATTTCCATTTTCATCGACGTTCAATTCTGAGAGTGCCGTTTATGCATGTGTCCGCACACGGGCCTGTTTGCAAATTCAGACAGAGGTAGGGTATTGGCTTGCCATCACACTATACAGTCCCACACACATACACATACCGTCTACACCAAGCTCGAGTTAGGCTAGGTCACAAAGCTCTGTGGTAGAGGAGTTAATTACAGTGTGATCAATAATTGATTAAACCGTCAGAAAGAGTCCAACAAACTCACCAGTAAGCATTAACGCACTCTCACACCAAACTCTTGGCCAAGTATGAACGCACACAGAAGCACACAAATACACAACCAAATTCTCTATTAATCATTTTCAGTGGAAAAAAATGTCAGCAGATTAAGAGGATTGACTCGGTATTGGATTAACCCTCCCACTGCGGTCAGGATCACACCAGCGTGGATGGATTGATTAGGTCTTGCAAAGGCGCACATCTGCCTAACGACTGCATCAGCTGTTTTTTAGGCTTTGGGTAAAGAGACTTACAATCCGACTGTCAGTCATGCTAAAAAGACCAAAAATGACATGTCATTTAGGCCTCGATATCTTGCGTGTAGACCTCGGCGGATTTGGTTTAAGCTCCCAACACCTGTCAGAAAACTGTAATGCGATCCCAGTGTTCAATTTAACCATGTCTCTCTATAGTACGCGGCCACCCTTTGGTTCGGGCTTAGTCCAAAGCACCTGTCAAAGAGTGCACAGGTAATCTTTTTTTAATGCTTCCGCTAAATGCTAAGCTAGCAGTTTGGATATGCTGCATTAAATATATGACCTGGATAAAAGTGTAAAGATGACAGATTAAGTCAAAAAAGACAACTCTGCAAGCCTACGAGGTTTCTCTCTCAAGCGTTTCATGCCTATACTGTCAAACACACTGGCCAGTTCCACTCAAAGCAGGTAGACATATATTCTGCTCTATATTTAACACTTCCAAACATGTCTCAGAAAATGAAAGAACGAGGAAAGGAGTGGAAAGAATGTCAAAGACAGGCAAATAAGGGGAGTATGATGGAGAGAATGATAGAAAGCAAGACAGAAGGAGAGAAGGAGAGAGACTGTGCAAGTGGGAAGAGATCTATAGAGGTGTGAGAGAAAATGGGTTACATTTCTCCTCTCTTCGACAGTCTATTTTCAGTAGCTACTCCTGGAAAGGAGAGCAGGCAGTTAGCACCATATAACCTTAACCACTCAACGCGCAGTAACACAACAGTACAGGCTGAATGCTGAAGTTGAGACATTTGTACTTGTCTACAACTAGTTTTGCTTTTTCTTTAGTTTTTGATGGGATAGGATTTAACTAAGCCTGTTAACTAAGCCAGCCTGCGAAGCCTGTTTCCCTCTGTAAAATATAATTGTGACATTTCTCACAATTATTACTTCTTGTAATTTCAGTCTTCCTGCTGTGCATTTATATCTTCCAATTGCAAATTTATATCTCACTGTTTGACTACACCTCACAATGTGGCTTTATATCTCATAGTTGGAACTTTTTAATCTCACAATTGCAATTTTATATGCTAGAAATGTGACTGTATTTCACAATGTGACTTGGCAGAAAATGTCCTACAATGTGACTGTATTTCACAGTGATTTTTGTCTCACAGTGTGACTATATCTCAACAGCTTAAATTTATTTCTTATCTTAAACATTACCTGATGCCTATTTTTTTTTTTTTACATTGAGTTGGAAACTGGCTTCCATATATAACATATTTTTCTTAGAAAATCTAATTACAACATAGTCAAAGAAAATGTGTGGGGTAATCCAATGGCTATCAGCGTTTTCTATATTAATACAGAAATATCCCACAGGACTGACTGGATTCAGGTTAGTTTTGGAATCCAAATCTAGATCAAGCTTGAGGCTTTTGTCCTGACAAGCCTTGTAACATTTTTGGTAAATGTTACTCCCTGCTAGCCAAAATTCAGAACTAGTAATTCTAAGACACTTCATGAACATGGCCTGCATATACTTGTTGAAGGTGCAGTGGTGAAACGGAGTCATAGATCTTTATTTTCTTACCTGTTTGCTGTACTTGACAGTTTGGCAGCCGTAATCGGAGCATTGGTCTGAGCTGAGTGACATGGCGTCTGCATTACTGTTGCCGTTGCCAGTGAAGGTGTTAGTGGGGGGCAGTTCCTGCACAGCCTGGTGCTTCTTGCCTTCCACGGGTGGTGAGTTGGGCTGAAGGTGCACTGCAGGCAAAGGTGAGCTGGACTTGTAGTGGCGGGCCAGATCTGGGCTTGACTGGTGATGTCTCGAGCCAAGTCTTGGACTGCTGGTGTCTCCGTTAGCTGCTGCACAATAACGTGCTGCAATCCTCTCGCTGGCACTGCTGGCCTCTTCATCCTCCTCTTCTTCATCGCCTCCCCCACGTCTGCAACCATTCACCGTCATAATTCCACTGTATAAAGAACGCTCAGATTTGGCAGTACCGTTATGATGCTTGTCTCTGCGTGGTTTGCGCCCACGTTCATTTTGGGTGCCCTGGGCTTGTAGAGGGGGAGGCTGTGGACTGAAAAAGTCCTCTTCTGGCTCCTTCTTCCCAGCCTCATAGCCGTTCTTACCCTGTGCCCCACACTGTCGAGCTGTCACAACCAGAAGGATCACCAGAATAACGGCGGCAGCACCAGCCAGGACACCGATGGCAACGCTCAGGCGTTGTTTACCCAAAGCTCTCTCACTGTCTGGGTCACCTGCAATATCCATATAGAGGGGGACTGCAAGGCTGCGGGCCACCTGAGTGAGAGGGAGAGAGACATACAGAGAGAGGGAGAGCAAAAATGGAAAGTCATAAATGGTGTGTCTGCCCTTTAAAAACTGCATCCTCATTTTACAGCTCTGTCTGCTGAACCACACACACACACACACACATACACATTCATCCCCACTGCAAGGCCCAGATTTCTCAATTATCATGTCAAGGCTTGGATATTCAATCATAGTTATTCTGCGCAGGCAAGTGTGACTGTGTATGTGTATGCAAGTGTGTTTGTGTATCTTTCATCTTTGTATCTGCATGTGCTTCCTTCTATCCAATATCCAATGTGGGTCAACAGCAATATGATGCATGAATATTTATAAACAGCAATATTTAAAAAAGAAAAGTGCTATTTCGTGCTAGGATTTCCTAGTTGTGCAAAGTTATCAGTAAGTTTCTGACTGCAGTTCACTTCTTTGTTCACTTCTTTGTCAATAAAATGACTCCATTCAGTTTCAATCCTTTTCACATTAATTGTTCCTGTTTGGTTACATTCTACACTGGCTTATTGTTCAACAGCACATACTGTTATTCTTTTTCTATATTGAATTACCCTTGGTTTGCATTTATTCGAACAGCATGCTTCTCTGATGTGTCTCACCTGTGTATCCACCAGCGTAGCATTGGCCAAGCTCTCATTGATGAAGACATGCACCAGTGCTGTGGCACAAAGGGAAGGCATGCCACTGTCATTGACCCGGACCACCAAGCGGTGCAGACCCCTGTGTCTTCTCTCTAGGGGCTCTGCCAAGGTTATGACCCCACTACTAGAGCCAATCTCAAACAGACGAAAAGGGTTTCCGCCTACCAGAGCGTAGCGGAGATCGGCATTAGACCCTGTGTCGCCATCGGAGGCTGTGACTGTGCGGACTACAGTCCGAGCCCCGCTAGCGGGTGGCAGGAGGGTGTATGATTCATTAGCGGGTGATGTGATGGATGGCGCGTTGTCATTTTCATCAGTGACAAACAGGGAGATGGTGGCGGTGGCAGACCGTGGCGGTTCTCCACCATCAACGGCACGCACGCGGAATGAGTATGCGCTACGTCGTTCGCGATCAAAGGATGCAGAGGAAAAAATGGTTCCAGTGTTATTTTCAATGGAGAAAACTTCTTGCTTTCCCTCTTTGCCCTCTTCTCCACCCTCCTCTTCATCATGCTCAACAAAAAGACTCAACTCTGCATTCTCACCTTCATCTGCATCGGTAACAGTCACCATGCCGACAGGGCTATTGGTGAGAAGGTTCTCTTTGACATAGAATGTGAAGACTTCCTGGACAAATTTGGGGCCATTGTCGTTCCTGTCCGTAACCTGGACTACGACAGTAGCAGAGCCCTGCAGAGATGGTGTGCCTTTATCTCGAGCTATCACACGAAATTCATAGTGTTCCCTCTGCTCTCTATCTAGTGCCCCAGTGGCACGAATATCACCGTTATCGGCATCAATGTAAAAAGCTCCATTAACAGATGGGTCCAGTGAGTATGCGATCTCTGCATTCTTGCCACTGTCTGCATCAGACGCCACTACAGTGACCACTCGTTCTCCTGGGGCATTATTCTCTGCAAAATGCACTTCCACTAAGCTTTGGGCAAAAGTGGGAGCATGGTCATTTATGTCCACCACACGCACCAGAAGGGAACTATTACTCGAGAGGCTTGGGCTACCGGAGTCCACTGCCACAATAGTGACACTATACTCACGAGTAGCTTCATAATCCAAAAGTGCTGAGGTGTGGAGAAAGTATTTCTTTTTGTTTCGTTCAAAGGCATCGTCTGTGGCTGGTGGAGGTGCTAGGGCTGTCTCACCCGCCGGTTTCAGTGTGAATGGTACATCTCCAACCACAGTGCAGGTAACCGCACCATTCTCTCCCTGGTCGCGGTCTGACACCTGCACTAATGCTACTGGAGTGTCCACCAGCACGTTCTCCGGAACCATTGCAGCACCATCGCGAACAAGGATTCGTCCAATTTTTCGAATTTCTACTATTGGTACATTGTCATTTTCATCCCTGACGTTGAGAACAACTGTAGTGCGGTCAGTACGAGGTGGTTGGCCACGGTCACGGGCTGTGATGGTGAAGCGTAGCTGTGAAACTTCCTCGCGGTCTATACGATGCAGAACGCTCAGCCAACCTGATGCTTCATCCAACCTCAGGAGGCGCCGCACTGATTCCGTCGCGGCTCCAAACACATACTCAACCTGCCCGTTCACGCCGACGTCACGGTCTGTGGCCCGCACCTGCAGGACAGGTGTGCCAGGTGGGGCATTTTCTGCCATTTCTGCTTCATACACGGCTCTTTCAAAACGTGGACTGTTGTCATTGATGTCTGTGATGGACACGCGCAACAGAGCTTGTGAGGAGCGGGGCGGGTTGCCGCCATCACGAACCCGTAGCACCAGTTCATAAGAATCCCGTGCTTCGCGGTCCAGAGGCCCTTTCACGATCAGCTGAGGCTGTTTCTGTCCTTCAGGTGTGTCGGCCACTTGTAGTTCAAACACGCTGCTCCTGCTGGCAGGACTTGTCCCTGTTTCTGACACTCTCCTTCGGTCACCACCATTCCCATTTGTCGGTCCGTTCGCAGGTCGCCGTGAAGATGACCCCCCATCTCTACTGTCCTGGATAAGCTCATAGCGATCAATGCCATTGCGGCCAAAATCACGGTCTGTGGCTGTGGGAAGGAGATAGAGAGTGCCGATTGGGCGATTCTCCTCAACAGCCCCCCATCTCTACTGTCCTGGATAAGCTCATAGCGATCAATGCCATTGCGGCCAAAATCACGGTCTGTGGCTGTGGGAAGGAGATAGAGTGTGCCGATTGGCCGATTCTCCTCAACAGATAGTGTGAGTACTGGTGAAGGAAAAGAGGGGGTGTTGTCATTGATGTCTGTGACTACAATACGGCCATCAAACAGATCCACCCAACTCTGCAGGGGACCTATGACTGACACTTCAAAGTTCAAAAAGCACTCGTTCTCGTCAAATATCATCTGACACTGCGGCAGCTTCTCTCTGTCAATCCTCTTGCTGCCTGTAGTAAGCTCTCCAGTGACGTTGTCAATTTTGAAGTATTCAGAGCCAGATTCCAAAGCGAAAGTGACATCACCAGTCCCAATCCCAGAGGTGGACAGCCCCAGGTCTGAAGCCACGTTCCCGATGTGCACATCGTCCTGCCCCTCTTCCGCCACGCGGTAGCGCAGCACTGAATTGGCGCGCGGGAGCTGAGTCAGCAGCTGCAGGATAAGCACGAGGTAGCAGCGCGCGGAGTGCACTGCGCCAACGCTCCTGCTCCCCATGACTCTCTCTCTTTCTCGTTCTCTCTCTCTTTCACTCTCTATCTGCAGCTTCTTCTGGTCCAAGACAGACTCGTCAACGATTAATCTCTATAAACGCTTCCTTCGGCAAAATCTTATTTTCTCCAACAGTCTTTTAGTTACCAGGTCACGTTTTCAACACGATAAAATAAAACATCCACTTTGTGAGGAGCTCGGCATCGGCGATAAGTCTTCACAGCTCTTTTACGGACAAGAATGTTTCTTTGTGCCTTTTAGGAGTAAACGGGAGTCAGATTTGAGCAGTTTAAAATACTTTGTCCGGCTCATTGAGATGCTGCGGAGCGCGGGCTCCTCTCGCGCTTTCACTGTTTTAAACTGCAATGCAGTAGAACACAAAAGCGATCTGTCTGTGAATTCAGCTCTCACATTCGCATCCCAGAGCTTGCGCTACTGGCTGGGAATAAGCCAAAGTGTTTTTTATAAAGTCTTCCCCGATATTATTTGTTCTCTTACCTTAAAACACAGCAAGAGGAAAATTGGAAAGCTTTCCCCGCAGTCTTACGCGCTCGTGCCAAGCTCTTACAGATTCCTTTACGGTGAACTTGACAAAGAGAAAGCTTTTCAGCCCGACTTCTCGGAGCAAGTAAATTAGCCACGTATGGAAAGATGGTGAGCAGGATAGAGAAGTAGCAAAAAAAGCCTTTAGTAATTTCTCCGGAGTCCGTAGTGGATGTGTGTTAAGTGTTTGAGGAAAAAGTCCCGCATTCTCCTCCTCCCCTCACCTGCACGTTCTACTGCACTGCATGTGAACGTCCCTCAAATGATGCTGCAGTCTCTCCCTCTCTCTCAACCTCTCCCTCTCTCTTCCCCCTCCGTTCACTGCAACACTTCCCTCCCTACGTAACTCGACCGTTCAGATGAAACGGGAGACCGTGAGTGTCTCGAAGGAGCTCGCGCTTTCCTTTTAACCAGTCTAAAAGCGCAAATACATTGTATGCTTGCATACGCATACAATATGCGTATGCAAGCAACGCATATTGCTTGCATACGACCACAAAACAAAATACCCCAGAAGATAAAAATACACGGACACAGCTTGACAAGTCCAATGAAGCACTTGTGCAAACAGAACAACTATTTAATAAAAATAATTTTGACACCGTTTGAGTCAGTTTCATTTGACAAATGTACATCAACACAGCAAAAGCAGTACTTGTTAACACTGAAACGCATTTTTCTACAAAAACCCATTTAAAATAAACATTTTAAATTCGAAATAATATGAAGAATGTGTATTTAAAAAAAAAGATAAGTAAAAAAGATTGTAAGAAAACACAAAGCTGTAAATATCTATAAAATATAGCATTTAAATTGGTGAAAGTGTGTACAGGCTACACAAAAAGAAATCAAGCAACCATAACAAATATTTACATTTGTTTTGTATACAGGTGAGTGGCGTTGCACTGAGGCAGTGGTTGAAACAGAGAGAATAACCTCGGTCATTGGGGCCTTTTACAATGGACCTGCCATTTCTAAGACATCTCATTATGGCCCTCACAAATACATATGGAAAAATGTCTTGGATATGTTCAAGTTAGATCGTACTTTCATGATCAAGTTGAACACAATGAGACTGAAAAGGGTCGCAATTTGTGCTCGAGGTCTTTGGCCTTAAAAGATTTCGTTAAATAGAAGAGTCAACTGTGAAACAGAAATTTAAAAGTGCTAAGACATCTCTGTACACCATATTATAAGTGTAGGCTACTGTGCAATAGATAGATAGATAGACAGACAGACAGACAGACAGACAGACGGATAGATAGATAGATAGATAGATAGACAGACAGACAGACAGACAGACAGACAGACAGACAGACAGACAGACAGACAGACAGACAGACAGACAGACAGACAGACAGACAGACAGACAGACAGACAGACAGACAGATAGATAGATAGATAGATAGAATCTATTTATATGTCTAAACGTTTTTCCTTTTGCCACAATGGATTTAGGTTAGATAGCTAATGCTATTTCGTTATTTCAGCAGTTCTGATCAGGCTATAAATATAATATTCGTTTTCATATTATTATCTTTTGTTGTTATGTTTCTGAATTACGAAGAACTACTCTCTGTCTGAATGCGGCAGTGCGTTTCGCTCATCCTGTGAACAATGAGCATGTATCGCACACACTCTCTCTCCGGTCCCAGCACGGGCTGCCCCGTAGCCACGCGGATGCGCGAGCGCAATGCAGCACTGACTAAACGTAATACTACAGTCACACAACAAAAGGAGCAGCCCTTCTCTGTCTGCACACTCCGTCCCGTGTTCTCAGTCTCATACATGCGTTTAATTCTTGGGATGAAATGATTTGAAACTAACGTAGGAGGGTTTCCCTGGTTAAACCCAGATCGTTTGGTCATAGCAGATGAGGTTGCGAGCGGAGGAGCAGCAGCATCACATCTCGGCACTGCAGTCCTGCTGCTGCTGCACCGGGTCTGGTTAACATTCCACCGGCTTCACCACACGTGCGTGCTGTATGCTCTGCGTCTCGCGCCCTCTGTTGTTCCACCGCGCGCCTTTTGATTTCACTTCTGCAATCAATCGCCCAGTCGAAGTGGGTGGGATAGTGGATTCAGCGTTCGTGTCCCGTGAGCACCCTCCATCTTTATCCCATCACGGTAATGCGTTAGTCTAATTAGCATACAATCCACCGGTGAAACTTTATCATCTGCAGAACAGACGCGAATAGCAAACACCCGTGGTTATGAGATACACTATGTGCATATATCGCCTCTAGTTAAAGCATGCGAGAAAAGACAGCATAAAAATAAGTCTCCAAAATATACAGCGATAATATATATTGTTCTGTACCGTACCATCTGCTTGAAAAGCGGCGATTATAAAGTACATGTAGCCTAGTACCTTTATCTTCCTTATCACCATAAAAGCAAGACAAGTACAGGTATATAGGTAGGTGGACAGACAGACAGATAGAATCTATATTGAGTATAAACTAGGCCTATATATTTAGACGTTTTTCCTTTTGCCACAAGGAATCATTTAGGTTAGATAGCTGTTATTTCATTATTTTGATAAATTCTGATCTCTATCTATCTATCTATCTAAAAAAATCTATACTTACTACTAATCTCAACATTCATGAAGAAATTAAATCTAATTGCACTCAAATTGAGTAAATATTACTTAATTTAGAAGTTGTGTTTATTTAAAGTAATTAATTAAAGTTTATTTATAACTTTATAGACAGGAACCTTGCATTTATCAAAATATTAAGTAAATTTTACAATTTACAGAAGTAAATAAGTAGATTTTGTAGGTGATTTATCTCAAAGACATATGAAATATTACATGGTGTTCCACAAGGATCAGTTCTTGGGCCAGTTTTATTTTCATTATATATGCTGCCTTTGGGCAGCATAATTCAGAAATATGACATGAATTATCATTTTTATGCTGATGATATACAATTATACATTTCAGGTGAGTTCAGAGACACTGTTGTATTAGAGAGGTTCTCTTACTGTCTTTCCAGCATTGTAAAATGGATGGACACAATTTTTTTTGTTAAACTGGAATTCTTATTGTGGGCCAGCGGGAGAGGATAAAAGCTGGGTTGGGTTCCTTTACACTACAATCTAAAAAAGAAGTTAAGAACCTGGGCCCGGGTGCATGAAAGTCCTTAAGTAATTTGACTTAGGGGTATCCCTGAGGGAGAAAAAATCCCTGAGGTAAGGGATTTCTTTAGGAGCGTTGCAACAAACGTCTTAACTGTCACCCTTACCTAAGTGTTTATACTAAGCGTTTCACGGTAGTTTCTGGCAACATACGGCAATAGGCGCCGCGGTTACTATAGTTACTACATCTCACAATAAACAGATATATCTATGACAATAAACAGAACATAATGAAATACAAACCTAACCAACTAAAACACAGACAAACATTAGATAAGCATGAGCGCTGCCTGTTTCTGTGCTGCTTTGTGTACAGTCATTACCGAGGAAACCGCTTTGTTTCTGCAGTGAAAGCGCTTCCTGCTGACCAATGACAGAAAATTTACCAAATGGGAAAATTAACCCATGTTTTGAGGCATAAACACACAGAGTTGTAAATGTGAACAGGTGGATTGACAAGATAATGCATTATAAAAATCTAAACAATTAAGACAAATTATATTTATATTGTTATTTAATTAATGTAATAATTGATTAACAATAATTGTTTAAATTGATATCATAATTGATACAACTCGTCCATTTACTTAAAAA